GTGCCAGAAGATAATGTGGTAAACCCAACAATGTTCAGTCAGGTCATCTGGACTTTTTTTTTTTGTTGCCGAGACGTTTCGTCCTTCACCCAAAGGACTTCTTCAATCTGAGGAGCCACCAAACAGAATCCCACAAACAGCTCACTCCCTGAGTGGAATAAAACATCAAAGTTCATGCGCATTAATCCAGGTAAAAATCCAACAATGTTCAGCCAGGTCATCAATTCAATTTATAGAACACCACATTTGTATATAAACATAATAAATTGATAACATTACTTATGTGAGGAGCAGACTGCTTAGAGTTTAACTTCATTGCAGAACTCTCATCTTGAGCAAGCATGAAGGCGACAGTGGAAAGGAAAACCTCCCTCGTGGAGAAGAAACCTTTAGCAGAACCAGGCTCAGGACAAGCAGCCATCTGCTTCAACCAGCTGGGTTTGGTAGGAACAGATACACAATGGCAGGGCAAGAATCACATGTTAAATCACATCGCATCTTGACGGTTTCTTTTGTTGCAGAGACATTTCTTCCTTCATCCGAAGGACTTTTGAACCACTTTGGCATGTCCGCCTTAGAGGAGTTGACGAGGGAGAAGATGGGCCCTGGAGGCCATCTCATCTCCAGCAAACTGTTTTATTCCACTCTGGGAGTGAGTTGTTTGTGGGATTCAGTTTGGTTTGGTGGCTCCTCAGATTGAAGAAGTCCTTCGGATGAAGGACGAAACATCTCAGCAACAAAAGAAACTGTCCAGATGACCTGACTGAACATTGCTGGATTTATACCTGGATTAAAATTTCCCAATTTTACCCTGTTCTATACAACGGACAGAAACTTGTCAAAGTCAAGGTTTGCAATCTAAAACTGTTGCCGTGTGTGTTTGTTTGAGCGCAGGGTTTTCTGAAGATGCATTATGTATCATAGGCCTCTGTAATCCTCTCCGCCTCTCCTTGTCCGCATTTCTTTATTTGTATTCCAAATGTCAGTGTATAAATGTCTTTCGGGGAAGGGGAGGTGGGGGGGTGATGCCATGAAGAAGAAGAGAGATGAGCAGAGTAAAAAAGAAGCAGAGACAAGAGGGTGTTGTGTGCCTTGGGAGAGCCGTGTAAGCAGCATGGCGGGGACAGGAGGATTTACAGGAAGAAATAGGTGTTTATTGAGTGCTCCCGTGGGCTTACTGCGTAATAATAGACCTGTCACATTACGCAAATGTGAAGAAACAGCTTGCGTGTGTGCGCGTTTGTATGTGTTTGTGAGACTTGTTGTCTGTGTTGTGCACGCACGCGCCTGGTGAATGCCAGAGCTGCCTTGCCTCCGCATCATCAACTCTCGAGAAGTAGCAATGAGCAAGTGGATGGAATTAGTCAGGCAAGAGCCTTTAGCTGCTAATATGAGTAATTAAAACTGCAAGCCGAGGCACTTAGATGCTTGTGTACTAAATAATTTACATGCCGTGATCTTTGGATCATTTTGCACTCCTAAATACCAAAGACGGCGAACAAAGAGGAGAGAATCCTCGCTGAGGATTTATCAACATCTCTGCCATAAGCAGGATGTCACGGTTATAATAATCCCCTTTCTCACTTTCTGGAGCACTAATCACACAAGCAGATCAATCCGAGCGATTCCTCGGGTGGAAAATATGTAGCTCGATTGCCACTGACTCTTATCTAGCTGTAAAGCTAATAAAATATTGCACTGTAGCTCCAATTGTGGCCTCATAATCTGGGTAAACAACACAGCTTTATTGGGTAAACTCCCACAAGACAAAAACAAGAAGAAAAAAAAAACATGGCACTGAAAAAAAAACCAAGGCGTTTTAATCAAGTAAAAGTTTCTACTGCTTTGATATTTGCACAATGGAGTATTACAGGCAAAATGTCACCTGAAATGAAAAGAATCAAGGGTGAATATTCCAAGTAAAAGCGATCTTGAGCCAGAATGCAACAAGAACCGATGGTGCAACATACAAAAGAGTGCTTTTTGCACAGCGTGACACTGTGCATGGAGACTTTTTGGAACAAAGAGGTGAGGATGTTATTAAAAACTGGATCAACAAATGGATTAGTTGGGAGCTGACGACGAGCCGATTGGCAGGCCGTCTGATTCATATTGATTCATATCATCAAGAAGAGAAGGATAGAGTAAGCAAATGTAAATATTGAATATTTACCATGCGCTGGTGTTATTAAATTCTGGACATGGGCTGACGGTTCTCATGCAACTACCCATCTCTCATCTAGTATCACTACTCCGGTCATCGAAACGTACTTGTATACGGCTCCCATTTGTCTAAATCTACTGACTTTGGCACGAAAAAACCTCAAACAGAGCAACAGCCACAAAATATGGAGAGCAAACACTTAGCCAACATTTTCACGTAAGTTTAACAAATAAAAATAATAATCCAAAACAAACACTTAAAAAGTCCAATTTGTATGCCGTTGCTGGTGAAGATATTATTAGCACATTTTTTTTTTTTGTAAGTCCGAGCTGAAATAAAAAAAAAAAAGTACAGTGACAGTGTTCTGCAACCTTGTCTCTTCGCCGGAGCGTAATTAGATACACGAGGGTGTGACTCCAATTGAAGGTGTCGCCATTGTTAGACACTGTGAAAATATCAACGGGTGAGGTTAACGCCAATTTCCCTGTCATTAATGAAATGCACAGAGCTCCTAATGAGGTAAACCACTGCTCCTTGATGGTACTTATTAACCGAGTGGAGGGCACAAACACCCAGACTTCAATTTAAAACGACTAAAAATAAATTGGATTAAAAAAAATTAATAAAATAAAAACACAGAGCAGATGTCAAGGAGCCTTACATAACGTGAAGTGGGAGAGTGGGGAACCAACTGTCTTGTTGATATAAACGAGGACGCTGAAAAGATGCTGGTGTGAGAAATATCTCAACACCAGGAAGAAAGTGGGAGTGTGAAACTATGTGCTTGCATATGTGTGACCTTTTCCAAATCACTGACAACAGAAATAGACAGCTCTACGAATCAATACGGTAAATTAGCATTGAAAGGTGGAAATGACAGGCAGGTAAAATTAGCTGTGGAACGTCCCACATGACGAATATGAAGCTCATGAGTTTTCAACAACACTGTGGATGTAGTGAAGAAATGCACTCTAGAACAAAGACCATCAACTTGTCCTACCAAATACATTCAGAATATATTTCAAATAATAAATAAATAGTCCAGTCATCTTTGAAGCGATGTTTTATCTATCCATTAGCAGTAGTTAGTATGTTATCAGAATGGAATATGGATAAAGAGGAAAAAGTCCAGGTAAGACTAATGGCTAGAAAAATTTGAGTTTTTTTTTAAAGTACTTTTATTGTTTGTCCTGCTTACCAAGCAAGTCTCTCAAAATGTACATTTTTCCAAGTAGTTCCTTTGCAGTTCAACTTTTGCAGACTCGCTCTTTCGTGGTTTTTCAAAGTAAGACTGTACACAAGGGAGAAAAAAAATTGTACCATACGCAATCGTCAACTTTAATATTACTCATGTGATTGGGACGGTATGGGATACAGTAAAAAGTTAACAAAAATAATAATAATTTGGACAGGCGCCGCCGTTTTGTAGTTTTCTCTCAATAAGCCTATACTGTATCTCCACTAAAAAATGACTACATTTCCCAGAAGCCAACAGTGTGCCACCCAGAAGCCTCGTTGCCTTCTGCTGAAATGGAGGGAAAGTTTTGAGCCGATCCGAAAAAGTTCAGTATTTCATAGTGACTTCGGCGCACAGCGGATGCAGAGAGCCACATGGAACCAATCAGGAACCGGACCAGAACCAGACCTTCAGACTCATCTGTGAATCTGAGCACCGCCCGCTGACCCACGAGGCCTTCCGAGTGGGGAGGCGCCGCTCTGAGGTCCGGCGTTCTCTCTAGATCCCACCGGGAATACCCCATCCAAATTTGGACTCGACCACTGTCAGGTCCCGTGCTGGTCATCCTAAAGTCCGGCTCCCTCAAGCGTTTTGGTGCTCAAGGGCTGCAGAGAGTCGACTAGGTCCGGCAGGGTCGGTCTGCTGAAACGGAACAGTCGGACCGGAACAGAGCTGCTGTTCTGCAGAGCTGGTGAGTAAAATTTAGTAGCTACAAATACGTATGTTGTTAAAATAATGTAGGTTTAAGAGTTTTAAGAGTTTAAAACATTGCAAGAGTGTGGGAAGGGTTTATAAAGCCTTAAAATATTTACTTGTATATTTTTTTTTCTTTCGGCTGCTCCCTTCTTCAGGGGTCTTCACAGCGAACCGAGTCGCACAAAGACTTGGCAACTGTTTTTATGCCAGATGCCCTTCCTGACGCAACCACAGACCACTGAGCTGCCACAGCCCTCTGTGTGGAGCAGAGAGCTGCCACAGGGCGACCGGGGGAGCAGACGGTGGGGGTTAAGGGCCTTGCTCAAGGGTTCAGAGTGGGGCAAATGAGGGTAGAGGCCGGTGTGGGTGCTTCATCTTTCCCATCCACATTTTGATGATGTTGGTTGGGTGGAGGGTCCAAACCGTCTATACACCTTCTCCAACATCTGCGCCACCACTTCCAACTTCCAAATGATAAATAAAAAGTCTTGTATTCACTTAGCTAACCTAAAGCTTAGACTGGACAAAGACATTTGCCTTTTTGATATACATTGTGCTCTCTGAATGATGTCACATCTGATAACGTACTCACTATTCAAAACCATAAGATAGAGCATAACTTCAAAGTTGACTGGATGGTCCCTTTTAATGTGTAGTTTGTAGACGTTTTGCAGCAAATCATGAATAATTGAAAGCAGCTGGATAAAACTTTGCTTTCCAGCGTGTTTTTCTTGAATCTATGCGACCCTTTCAGGGGACAGACGTGTCCATCGTTACGATTCCAATGACGGGTCTGAGGATTGCATGCACAAACCAAACAAACTTTGCGCAACAGAGGAAATCTTTTCGGTGGAGGATGTATTATGGATGGACTTAAAGAGATTAGATGGGGAGCTGCTTTACCTGCAGTGGACGCTGCTTGTCCTGGCTCTTTGGAGATTTCAGGCCACAGCCTGGCTGCTGCAAGAGTAATTGCCTCGCTGCTTGTAGAGCCTGGGAAGAAGAGCACAACGCACAAGACAGTGTGAGAAAACGGAAAGAGAAAGAGAGGAGACAGTGACACTAAACTGGTCGATTTCCTGAAGCCGACAGTAAAGATAATTCACATTTATACACACAAAAATCAGGTGCTTCTGGCTGGAAAAACCTGATTTATAGAAATGTGTAACACAACAGAGACGATATGTTTTAGAAACATATCACAGAGCTGCGATCAAAGATAAATATTGTTTGTACTGAAGAAGAAGATGGAGGGGGTGGTGGAGAGGGGAGGGAAAAAAAATGAAGGCAGAGTAGAATTGACCTGTCTAGTGTGTGCTCAACTGAAATATCCACTTCTTTCTGCAAATTACCACCACATTTGCATATTCATAATATCAATTTGAAGTAGAGGCAGCACCATGTGAAGTGTCCCTGGGAGCTGTAATTAAAGTTGACAAAATCAACATCAGATTACATTTGGACTGAATTAACAAGCAGTCCGGGTTCTACACTATGCATTAAGGGTGCTTATGAGCAGAGGATGGGAGATAGATGGAGAGATTATTAGATTGGAAGGGAAAGGCGGACCTTTTCAAGTCTGATGAAATCAGTTCGCTGCCGTTTACACAAGTCCAGGAAGATTTCAGAGTTTGCGCTGGCAAATTCCAAATATCGTCATCACTCCATGTTGAAGTGTTTGTCGGACAACAATCCGATATGGATACAAGAAGTTGGGATGTGGTCATTTATTTCTGCGGGGTTTGATGGGATTACAGCTCCCCTTTTTCTGCCTGCGCGCTCTGTGTGATGAGCCTTAGCTTAACAAGTACTGTAAGTGATGCCATGAAAAGCCAGCTGGGCTCACAACTTCTCTCTGATTCCTCAAGAACAGGATGAGAGTCTGGCTGAAAGGAACATTGTGCACAGGTGCTCCGCACAACAGAATGTGTTGTACTGTTCAGGCCCACAAGCAGGAGGAGTGGGGTATCTGTGCACACACTCTCACACGCACACAACACTGCTTCACAGGTGTTTTTATGATGAAAAAAAAAAGGAGAAGGATGAATAGAAAAGGCAAAATAAAAAAATAAAACTCAGGTGCAGAGTGACACTTTCTTAGGAATCAGGGGTGCTCATTTTATTCTGGAGCTTGCCAGTATCCATGACAACAGCAGCTTTGACAGGGCGTGCATATGGCTCAGCTCTACCAGCTGGTGGGAACAATGTTTGAACTAGTACATTGAGAGCCTGAGCAAACACGAGGAGGAGACGAGAGACAGAGAAAGACATAAAAAAAATGGAAAGGTGGGGAGAAAAAGTTGCTATGTCTTAACCCCTCGGGGAACACATCCATCCCCGCCTCCGCTGATCAATTATGAAAAGATAGAGCTGGGGAGGTGCCTTGAGAGGTGGAGGTGGTGCAGGGGAGAGGGCTGTCTGGCTGCTCAGGAGGAGCCAGGGCTTCTGATCTACAGTAAACAAACACACTGGAACTGGGTCCTAACTGCATTGATCCGTCTCCTCTAGAGCCCAGTCACCACTAGTTTATGGGTGTGTGTGTGTGGTCGTAACACACATACAAGGCCAAGGCTGTAAGCTGAGCCTTGGCCTTGCTTCAAGTTCAAAACACACACACACATCAGCACACATCAGCAGCGAGTAGCACGCACACAAACCTGCAAAGTTTTGTCGAACAAGATGGGATGGAAATCAAACGTTCTTTTTTAGCGAACATAAAAGACAACATAAACTCCTGGAAAGCAGCCAATTGCTTTGCTAATTAAAACACGGGGCCCAATTAATCTCAGCTTGATTGGCGAATCAAAGTAATTATAAGGCTTATTGAGTCCGGCACACAGTAGTTAGAGGGGAGGTTGCTTGATGAGCGTGGCTCAAGGTAGCTGTCTGGAGGGAAATGTTTATTTGTGTGTGAATCAATAATGATCCGCTGCATTGTAGCCAAAGTCTGGAGACGCTTCATATACACTGCCTGGCCAAAAAAAAAAAAGTTGCCACCTGAATTTAACTAAGCAAATAGGTACGAGCCTCCTATTGGATAATTACTGCACGGACGATTATCTTTCAGCTGGCAACAAGTTATTTAACCCCAACTGGTGCAATGAGTTGCTTCTTTAAACAACCATGTGGAAAGACACATGGCGTGGTCATAGAAAAGTTGTCAGTCTGTTTGAGAAGGGTCAAATCATTGGCATCTTGCAGAGAAAACATTTTGCAGAAACTACAAAAATTGGGTTAAGAACTGTCCAACGTTTTATTAAAAACTGGAAGGATAGTGGAGATCCATCGTCTTCGAGGAAGAAATGTGGCTGGAAAAAAATCCTGAATGATGGTGATCGGTGATCACTTAAAACATTTGGTGAAATCAAATGGAAGAAAAACAACTGTAGCACTCAGGGCTATGGTTAATAATGAAAGTAAGAGCATTTTCACACGCACAATGCGAAGGGAACTCAAGGGATTGGGACTGAACAGCTTAAGAAAACCACTAATCAGTGAGGCTAACTGGGGGAAAAAAAAGGCTTCAATTTGCTAGGGAGCATAAAGATTGGACTCTGGAGCAATGGAAGAAGGTCGTGTGGTCTGGAGTCCAGATTGACCCTGTTCCAGAGTGATGGGCGCATCAGGGTAAGAAGAGAGGCAGGTGAAGTGATGCACCTATCATGCCCAGTGCCTAGTCATCAATGCAAGATATTGATGAAAAATTAATGCAACACTGGATGGAAATAGATTTTGTGACATTGCAGAAGCTTATCAAAACAATGACAGAGAATACATGCCATAATCAAAGCTAAAGGCAGTCCAAAAAAATATTAGTGTGACCTTTTTTTTTTTGGTGGCGACTTTTTTTAGGCCAGGCAGTGTATTACGTAGGGTCACGATTACAGAGAAGGTGCTTTTCATTGATACTCACGGAGGTGCATGCATGAGGAGAGGTGAAACAGAGAGATCAACCACAGCAAGCTTATTAGAAAAGAAGCACTGAGCACTTCTCCAAACATAACATGGACCTTATCAACACCGGACAAAACTTTTCCACGGCGGCTTGTCATGTCTCAAACTGTCTGTCACCTCCTCTGTGAAATTGGGGTTAGCTTTTCTTTCTGGCAAGCCTGCCTGGTGTGGAAAGAGGAGGAGGATGGGGTGGGGGGGTGGGGGTTATATACCTTCACTTTTACCTGCTTTGAGTATTCAACCATTACAGTAAAAAGCACCAATTTGTGCCACCCACTTTTCACACCGCATAGATGGTGGAGCGAAAGCCCATCCGAAAGCACAAAAAGCTGCAACTACCGAGGAAAAGTCATCAAAAGTTTGGCTGAAGAGCTGCCAGAGTGGACAAAAACACCGCCGAGAGAAGATGCACCATCTATTTAACCTGGGTTGCTATGCACGGAAAAATGAAAACCCCAGTCTATTAATTCGCACGTTGTATAAACAGCACAATGTGACACATTCTTAGAATGAGAGTGCAAGCCAGACAGAGGCCCTACTATATAAATAACAAGGCACTCAGAGGCATATTTGATGTTGATATCTATCACCGAGACTAGAAAGAGGGGAAGAAAGAAAGAAAAAAAAACACGGGAAAAGAAAATAACAGAGCGACCAAGACCGCGACATGGGGATCCTTATGAAAATAAGATTCAGCCCAAATGGATCTGGTGTAATTGGTTTCAGATAGTGAGGTCAGGAGAAAGGCGATACAGGCAACTATTATGCGAAACGGACTGAGAAACAAGAATGTTTACACAGGCATTCCTCTTCTACATTAATAGGCATGCAGAGATCACTGGAGAGGACGAAAAGGAGTGAGAAGAGACTGACAGAATGGAAAAAAACCCCTCCCAATCCACTTTCCTACCTCCATAAACACCCGTAATTCTACACAGAAGACACATATCACAACACACCTTTCTAAGGAGCATGCAAAGATCTTAAACAAGCATGAAATACATTAGTGGGACCTTCATAACTGGGCCAAACCATTACAAATCTCCAGATTGCTTATTGCATGCGGTGCTGCTGCAGGTGAAATAAGCCGTAGACAAAGAATGTCACTCTTTCAAATCCACATGGAGACGACACAATATTCAGCCATGACATTGGCGCTGGATGTATTTGAGGGGCTGTGACATTGTGTTTGGACAGCGCAGATCACTTCCTGGCTGAAATCGCGCAGGGAGCTGTTGTTATTAAGGGATTTAGCCGATATTGGGATGATGACACAGGCGTGTAATAATCTGCCCCCAACAGGTATTTCCTGACAGGATGCTGCCTCCCTGTTGCAGAAAATCTCTGTAAACACGGCGCCAGTTGTTGATCAGTAAGAAGCCGGCCCACACCACGCCAACGTGGTTTATCTCATGTGTGCTGAACAGATGTTTAGCGAGTACGCGTGTTGCTCCTGTTCACAACACCAGGCTGTCGGCCAGAACAACTCCAGACAAGCTGACAGCTTTGACAACTCACACACACGTGTACACAACTGATGCATAAGCACATATATGTACACACTGCACCGCATCGTTGAGCTTATGCATCTTTGCTTCCAAGAAATGGATTCAGAAGGAGTGGAGTAAGGAATAAATGTTAGTTTTTATCAATCAGATGGAAATTTGTGTAGCTGAAAACAAGGCAACAGTTTAGGCTGAACAAACAAACGTGGCTGATTGGACCGAGGCTGCAGGCTTGTTGGCAAGAAAGATATGCGCTCACACTCCACACCAAAATATTTACACCTTATCTCCTTCTGTTAGTGGATTCAGGGCAGATGGATTGACAAATACAGAAATAGAGAGTGACTGGCTGGAAAGGATAAACAAATCAGAAGAGAAGACAGCGGGACAAGATGTCCAATATAAAATTTGATAAAAAAAAGAAAAGGCCTGTGTTAGTGAAAGCCAGGAAAGTACCACAAGTAGCCAAATACTCATCCTTTTGTAAAGGTCAGAGCTGCCAAACAAACA